ATGAAAATGTTAAAAAGCGTGTCAAACACGCGATCGAGAAGTTGATTGTTATCCACCAATCGACAGGCAACAAATTTCACCAAATAATCCGGCAAATTTTCCGATAAAGTTCCGAAGAACATGAACTTTATTGAAAACGCTAAACAACAATTTAACAAAAATCATTTAATGAAAACGTAAAATATCCACAATTCAATCTATTCTAATATATTCTTAAACACATAATTGCTCGTGCAAACAGTTCAATAATTTTGTTGCAAGTCCAATAAATAATTAGTTGCTTGAAGAAGGTCATAATTATACTTTTCCAACGCTTCGACAGCTTGTGATTTTGTAAAACCCATATTTGTAAATTGTTTAATTAATTCAAAAAGCTTCATGTCATTTTCATTGCTCTCCTCGATCGTTGATGACTTTATATTATTGACCGTCGATGAAGACGATGTAATCACCTCCTTTGGGGGTCTGGTGGGTGGAATAGGATTAGTGACACGTAATTGACCCGAAGACCGACGTTCTCGAATATATGATGAAGCAGTAGTAGGATAAGTTCTTTGTTGAATGTTGGTGGAAGAAGCATTACGAATTTTCAGTGAACTTAAGGAAGAAGATGTATAGCTATTCGGAGGGGATAATTCTGAGTTATTACTATGAGTCGATAGTGGTGGCCCTAATGTGAATGAGTGATTGATTGATGGCTGCAAAGGTGTTGAAACGGGTTGCAGCAAAGGTGACGGGTGAAATGATCCGGTGGGGTTGGTAGGTGCCAATGGTACCTCCGTTCCAGGATACGGTCCAGTGACAGTTAATGATGTAATATGCCCGTTAGAAGTATAATTTTGCGTCCCGTTTGATGGCACAACCATGCCTCTCAATATTGATATGTCATCCTGGACCGAATTTGGACGATCCCACGGATTACGCGGCGGAAGACTTTCCTCAAACAGATGCACCAATGATTTTGCTTTATCCTGAATCTAAAAACGAAATAAACAAAAATGTAAAGATTTGACAATTGCATTATTGAACTTCGCGTATATTTTTCATTTACCTCTTCTCCTTCCACCATTCGTTCTGCATTTTCATCCGACGTAGATCGAGAATGTAGCTTTTTTTGATTTTCAAACTCTGCTCCGCTATTAATCACTGCATTATTATTTTCTGCCTGTTGACTAGCTCGTGTGGGAGTAAGAATTTTTTGATCCGTATCCAAAAAACCGGGAGCTATCTTCCTTGCTTCTTCCTTTTGTTTCCGAATTCTTTCCTCTTGAAGAGCTTGCAACTTTTGAGCCCGCGCTCGTGCTATTTCTTCACTTTCCTGTCGAAACCTTTCAATTTCAGCAATAATTCGACGTTCGAAATTAAAATCATTTCTACTCTAAATCAGAACATATAAATTAGTCCATCAAATAGATTAATTTGACGAGAAAAATATAAATTTGAAATCTGAGGATCGACGTTTGCAAAATGCTTACTATGGTGGGTAGATCTAAATTAAAATCTTGTGAAATTACTATCTGTAAATTAAAAAATATTAAAAAAAGTTTCAAAATTAGACGAAAATGATTTTAAAAAAGTTAAGAAAAAAGCCTACGGGTTTTAACGCGGAAAATTGTGGTGCCAAAATCAGAGGAACGTTTTCCAAAGCAGAATAAATCGTAGAAACTGGATTTTGCTCCTACAAGAAAGAATGCATTTTTGATAACAGATGTTAGAAAACGCATCTTTATACACGAACAGTTGTCAGGGTCGAGGGTGGTAGGCCACAGCTTCAGGTTGCCCTGACTCAACAGGATGTTTCTCGCCGTCCATCCTTAATCCGCCATTCTCACATCAAAAGATCTTGCATCCGCCTAAGTTCTCAGATCGTCCGCAAGTCTTGATCGTGTATTCCTCGGTACATAGGCACAGTTTCGTCCAGGTACTCTGACATCTTGTGCTTTAAAATTCACGAAATCTATGATGAGCGAGGATTATCATGGCTCGTGCTGTTTTAAACCTACTCTTGCGCTCCGGGTATTGTTCGCGCAAGAAATCTTGTTATCGCAAGAGGTATACTCATTGCTCATCGCCGGAGACTCGCACTTGATAGATCTTTTCCTTGATAATTCATTCGCGTAAGTTAGAAGTATTGATCGTTTACTGTTGGACATCATGACGCATCGGTGTCGGCCCATTTTAGTAAGGTAATAGTTTTAACCCCATGGGTTTATTGGATCCTTTCGCGAGTAAGAAAGGCATGAAGTGCGGATTCACGGATGGACAGAGGTAAACGCCGTGACCTTTTATAATCACATACCTGTTCCATAATTTCACTGAAAGGAGTCTAAGTTGACTGAAGAAACGAACCTTGTGTTACCTTTATTAAAATATGATTGGCTGATGTGTAACAGCTTAATACAGAACTATGTTTAAAACAATTATTTAGTTTCTTGTTTATTACTGATACAAGCAATTTATAATTACTAGATTAAATATTTTCTTGAATAATATCTAATAAAAAATTAAAAATATATTAGATTACAGTAATACATCAATATTAAACATATAACAGATAGTAGAACTAGCTTGTGAAATTATAATCAACATCTTATTTATATCTAATATTTATAATTTTTTTTTTTTTTTTTTCAACTAGCCAGGCCTTGCCTAACATACTTTATTTAGTTTACATTTGTATTTCTCGTACAAGAATTACTATCTATAAACTACTCTAGATGCATATTAAACTATATCGAATTTCTTCCATATCGGCTTGTTGCTATTGACTTATCCTGAAGGTGTGTATCATGCTAACATGTCAAGACTCTGCTAGTGTTGTTATTATATGAGAAATAAAAATAAAAATTAAAATCAATAATGTTCTTCTCCTGGTCGAGCCAGTTTTCAAGTAGTTTTTTATGTATACTCTGCACTTCCTCTTGTTTTCCCTTTCGTGAACTTAAAGGTATTGTGGATTGATTTGTCTTTGTATTGCTCTTTTTCTTTTTTTTTTCTTTTCTATCAATGTTTTCGCTTTTTTCCCATTGTTGGAACTGCTCACATCTTTGTATCCATATTTTGTGTAGCTTTTCTGTCATCCTATTTGTAGCTGTCTTGAGTGTGTCTTTTATCTTTGTTCCGTTTAAATTTCCAATCAGCTTTATTAGATCTTTATTGTGTACTCCCTTGACTATATATCTTAAGCTTTTTTCAGACTCGTTGATAATGAGTTCAAGTCGGCTGTACCAATTATATTCTTTTTTTCCTTTCTCCATTCTGCTAGATATTTCTTCTTTCAAGATTTTTAGATACTTTTCCCTAATCCGATCATTATGGTATTTAGTGAAGACGTGTTCTGTATTCTCCTGTTGGTTGCATCACGGACAGTTGCCATTCTTATACAAGTCTGGCCTTCTTGCGTTCAATTTGTTTTTTGTTGGTAGCTCATCATTCAAAAGTTTGTATCTGAAAATTCTATTGTTGTGATCTTGTAGACTGGTATTGAAGTTAGTAATTTTGAATGGTAACAAGCTTGCCTATGTTCTTTTCCAATCTATTTCTTTCTCATCCCCTGATCTGAGCCATGCTTTGTATCTTCTTTGCATGATCCATGCACTCATCCATTTGCTATTTTGCCATTGTTTCATGAACCTGTTGATTCCAACATCTAAATCGTTTTTGTACCATTTAAGCATGTATCTCATACTTGTTAGTTGTTTACTATTTATTCCAATTATCCATTCATAGCCTAGTTTTCTTCCCAGTTTTGCCAGTTCATCTGCTCATTCATTATTTATATTTCCTGCATGTGCTTTGATCTTTCTGAGATGGGTGGGTGCTATTCTTAACTGGATCTTATCCATTATAAGTGTTGTTGTTATGAGGTTAGTACTCTTTATGATCCTTTTCTTTTGGGTGGTCTTGGATTCGATTGTATGGATTGCACTCTGACTATCTGTATATATTGTTGCCCTAGTCTTTGTGTTAAGAAGTAACAGTACTGTGAGGATTGCTATTAGCTCTACTCTTGTCGACGATAGAAACCCTTCACATCTGCCTTTGAATTCCACTTGTTCTTGTGTCGTTAGATTAATGATTATTCCTCCTATACCCATTTTAATGTATGAATCATTGTACTTTTCCATTGATCCATCTATATATATGTCGACTGCATTCCAGTCTTGTATATAGTGCTTGATCCTCTCTAATTCTGCTTGAATCTGATGTTGAAGTTTTAGTCCTGTAAGCATGTTAAAGGTTTCTGGTTCTATTTCTGCATCATTTGTAATCTCTATATATGGCATGTCCACCTTTTTTGGTTGTGACTCGCTCCACTGGTGTATTTGTCTGATTGAGTTTGGCGATACTTGAATCCGTGAAAGGTTTCCTATGATTGAGTTGTAAGGTTTTGAGCTGTTTTTTGTTTGCTTGACCGGTATTACTATCGCTGCTTTTGTACTGACCTCTTGAATGCATCTGTTTAGTTTATTTTGTATGTTTAGTTCGCATCCATTGCATTTCTCAATTGGAGAATCTCCTGCTATTTGTGTGAAATGTTGGGCTCTGAAAGTATTATTAAAGACTTTGACCCTTTTATTGACTTTCCCAATATATATGTTGTGGTCGATAATCATTGTGATGAATTTGTGTCTCTGGATGTTATCTTGATTGGCCAAGTCACATGTGGCGAAGGAATTTATTACTGGTTCTTCCAAACACTCTTCCTTCTCTAATATTTATAATTAATTTAAGTATTTATTAAAGTTCTTATATTATCTTATAATCTCATTTATTTTTTATTTATTTTTTTTTTTTACATCTAATCAGGCCATATATTCAAGTTTATTTGTATACGAGTAGTAAATTCAGTACTGATCTGAGATACAGATAGGTAGATACATATAGTATCTGACAAATCTATACTAAAGATTAAACTTATATTCTATATATGGCATACCCGTCAATAGCCACTGGCCTTTAGATGTAATTAAGGGGAATGAAAAAAGTTGCTCTATCTTGACCCACATTCCTTGTGATTCTCAATATCATCGCCAGCCCTTCACTCAAGACTGTTCACTTCAATTTAACTTCTATAGTCCTAAAGTATAAAATTTTTATATTTTTAAGAAGATAAAAAGAAATGGTAAAGGGAAAGGAGAAAAGTTTGCACTAGTAATATAAAAACCCTATTAAAACCAATCACTAGCCTAATAAGAGCCTTCTTTAATCTTGAGGAGAAAAGAAACTGGCACAAGAGAGGAGAAGAAAGACTTTCAAGCACTTCTTATCAAGAGGACTCCTCGACACCTTGCTCTTTCATTTTGTTCAATTATATCATCGGTTATAATGTAATACAACGTGAGGCATGTGTGGGTAAGTGTCTTGTTTACATTTCTTTTACTTGTTGATCAACCAATCCAAGATTTCAGCCAATTATCATCTGAAGTTTTTGGTATAACAAAAAATTCAGGATCAACCTGAGGTAGGCAAAATTCTTCAGAAAAACCAAGAAAAATTGAATACATTCGAAAGTACTACCTACAGACATGTATAAATGGTGAAAAGATTTATACATCTGGATAGCAGACTCCTATCAGCTTATCCACTTGCCTGACCAAGGAGTTTACTTATAGTGGATCTATTACTTGGGAGTGTATTTACTGATAGGTCCAGCTAGCTTATCCACCTGCCTTAGCCCAAGGTGTTTACTTACAGTAGACCCAAGGTTCTTATAGATCTTGGGAAATGCATTCACTATCTTATAATCTCATTTAAAAACTTCAATATAATATAATAAATATTATATTTTTTATTAATATTAAATAAAACAAAAATTTCAAAAAAAAAAAAAATATTATTATTATTAATAATAACAATAACAATAATAATAATAAAATACAAAAAATTAATTTCTCTTCTTATTTTTTTTTTCTTTTTTTTAACACGACTAGTTGGGCCTTATCCAATGTTGGACAAATTTATTTAGTTCACATATGTATCTTATACATTTTTACACAGGTAATTACTATCTATGAACTATTCTAGACTACCATTAGACTATATCAGATTTTACCTCCATATCGGTTTTTTTGCTATCAACCACTATTTCAGACAAGTCAAGGCTAATATGCATTTTGCTTCATTAGTGTCACTATTTTATGTTAAGTTCTATTTTTAACCGGAAATGTTTAAGGGGAAGTGAAAAAGGAAACTGGGGAGTAGTATCTATTATGGCAAATAGAACTCTGTAGAGGAAACCTCTAATTCAAACCGGACTATCGGTAACTTGCAAAAAGAGACATCAGGTATCACGAGGAATGATTATCAAGCCATCTTTTCTCAAACTGGATGTCTTCTATACCTTTTTTGTTGTCCAACTTCTAGTGATCATCGTAGCACCAACCGGACGATCGTCACACCACAACTCCTTTTCTGGAGATCACAATCTTAATGCCTATCAGATCAGTATATGAAATGGCTTCTTATAAGAAATGGCACATAACTGGCTATAGTGCCGGATACCATATTAATTCTATTCAATCACCTTCACATAGGATTGAACTAATATCTTGTGATCTGACCTGTGGAGCACTAACCACTGTGCTATAGACCCACAGGTCTAATTTCTCTTCTTATAATATTATCAACTTAATCTTTACTTATAATAATATTACAATTAATATTCTAATTTTTATCACAAAAGTATTTATTCAAAACAACTTCAATTATTTATAATATATATTTAATCTTATTTCTAATTATTATAATATTATTTCTTTAAGTATTTTATAACAAACTCTTTTCGCTGATTCTCTTGCCAACCCAAAAAACAGATATTCTCAAAAATAATTTTTATTTTTAATAATAAAGTCTATACACTTTCTTTAAAAACATTATTTCTTAAAGGCAGGTGCCTCCTCCACTTGTTTACTCTTTCTTTTTCAAAAACTTTGAATATTTCAGTGACAAAATAAACAAAACTTTACCCATTTGGTTTATAGCAAGAACACCTTATTGGAAAGAAGAAACTTGTAGAAAAACACTCTTCACTATTTTCTCCAAAGGTCTGGAACTCTAGAAAGTGAATCACTAGTGAATGCATTTCCCAAGCTCTATAAGAACCTTGGATCCACCATAAGCGAACACCTTTGTCCAAGGCAGGTAGATAAGCTAGTTGGTCCTGCCAAGCGAATACATTTTCCAAGCTCCATAAGAACCTTGGGTCCACTATAAGTTAAACTCCTGTGATCCAGGTGGATGGATAAGCTGGTAAGAATCTACAACTCTGATATATGATCCTCTCTCATCAATTATATATCCTGCATA